GTAGGTTTAGGTTGCAGATAAATTAGTTAGTTCTTCTTTCTATAGTCTGAGCTTCATTCTTGTATCTAAATTTGTAATTCCGAGCAACCTCATGTGGTTTCTCTAACAAGTTTATCAATAAAGATAAGAGCAAAACCTCACCTTAAAAAAAAAAAAAAATAAAAATAAAAGTACTGAATCTCATAATCTTGTAAATAAACATATTATTAATCTATTGAACATGAATAAATCATGAATATTCAAGTAATACCTGTAAACATTTCTTATCTGAGAACTTGATGACTATCTGGCATATTTTCCCTTATAGTTAGAATACAATTTAGTAGTAAAACACCTTGTTTAGCCCATTTTATCAAACATTTATGAATTAAAATAGTTAGTACAGTAAATTTTATATTATATTGTATGATATACTAACTCATGATTAGATACATCTTTTACAGTACTGTTTTCTGATATTTCAATGATATTATTAGATAATATATCATGAATTTCTTTAATATCATTAGATATTTCTGCGTTTATTAGCAAACTATAAGCTAACTCACATGATAATATAGCATCATTATGTGGTTCTTTGTTTAGTATAACAACTTTAATATCAGAAGGGTTACAATATCTAGTCTATTCATAAATATCATTTGGTAAAATATTATATTTGTTTTTTTCTTTAAAAGTTTTTTCTTTAGTTGTGAGAAATATTTTTTTTGAAATTCTGAAAATAATATATTAAACTATTTTGAAAGTATATTGAGTTCTTCTTTTAATAATATTTTTCTTCATTATTCAAAGTGTTTATAAATGATGATTTTCTTGTATCGTTATTTTCTTCAATCTTAGTAAAAAAATTACTTAAGATTGTGTATTTTCAGATGACGTAATTTTATTTTTTTTATTAGGAATATCTTTTGTGATATTTTTACGCTTAGATATAATAAATAATTTAAATAATTAAATTATATAATACTTTTATTTATATAAAAAATAATTGACTAATTTATGAAACATAGTTTTAAATTCTGTAATTTGGATCATATTATTGAACTAATATTAGATAATTATAAGTGTTTATTGGAAAGTTGGGTATTTTTTCTAACTCATAATCTGTATTAATTGAGCCATATATAGCATAGTTGAAATTATTAATCTGAGATAATCTTTGATTTCTGAACATATTATCTTTATCGTTACTGTTTGATTTAGAGTTAAGACTATTTGTTATTTTAGCGACTACTTTAAAAAAATCTTTGTTTAAAGTTACTATACATGATATAGAAATATATATTAACATATTTATAGTTCATGATATAATTTCGTTGGAGTTAAGTGAGCCAGTCATATCTATTATACTTATTACATCTAGTATAAATGCAAGTATTAACCTTACTATAAACCAGATAAGGGTGGAAGCTAATAATGTTTTTGTTGAGTCTACTGATTTTTGAGTATCATTAGATGATGTATTTCTTTGTATACTTAATTTTTTATTTGTCCTATTGATCCCAAACATAATACATAAAACGACAAAAATTTTTATAGCGAAATCAGTATTTATAAATCTATATACTATAGTTTTATAATTAAAAAATTCTGATTCACATATTATTACAGATAGTTTAGATGATAACCTAGGGTTAAGGTTGATAATTTGTACAAACTGAAACAATATTCTTACTGCGAGTAAGATGACACTTATAGTATTTATGAGTTTTTTTTTTTTGTCATTTCTCGTAAATCATAAAGTTTTCATAATAAAAATTCTGATAACGATGTTCGATACGAGTAATTTGCTAATGTGTAAAGATACCCAAGTATCATGAAATTGGGATTACATAAAACAATATAAAGAAAATTTAATATGAATTTTAATCTACCAGATAGATTGAAAATAATTTTAATATAGTATATATATGATTTTCTATTGATAGCTTGTATAATACTAATAACTGTGTTGTAGTAAAATATAGTTATGCCAATTCCTGCTACAAATGATAGATACGGAAGCTGATCCATTGGAGAATACTTATTGTTTTATCTGACTAACTGATTAAATATAAAATAACACAAGTGTCTATCTGTATTATTGTTAAGTAATTACCGTTATATTAAAAAAAAATTGATAATTGAAAATCATTAAGTTTAATGGCAAATACTGAATATTACATGACTGACAGAAAGGTTATGGAAATTCAAAATCGAGATAACTATTCAGATAGATTTACCTTTAGAGATATCACTAATAGAATTCCTACTTCATATAATAAAATTTCAATACCGTGAAATAATGAGCCATGTAGTCATCAAATAGTATTGGAATATAATAGATTAAATGAGAGTACAGTAGTTGGTGATATGTTCGAAATAGAAATATATAATCATTTGAATAAATTGGAGTATAATAGATCGAAATATATATGTATTATATTAAAATCTATAAGTATAGAGGAGCAAACAATATTAGGATAATCATATGATAAAGATTTTATAGTTTGTATAGGTAAAAAGAATCCTCATAGTGATGAAAAGGTTGATCTTTTATTACTTTATAAAGAAATAACAGTATCTATACAGGTTAAATTTAGGTCTAATAAAAATTTTTCTATTAAATATTACAAAGAAGATGAGATGATAAAGTTTATAAATAAATTTGTGAATACAGATATTAGGAAATTTAGAGTACTGTTTGGTTTTTTTGTAGTTAATAATGATGTTAAAATACCCAAAGATTACAGACTTAATTGTAATTATACAGTTAATGAAAAAGTGATAGTAGTTAAACTCAAGGATTTTACATCAGATTTCATTGAGGATGCTATTAAAAAATTTAAAAATACAAGAAGGAAAGATATCAAAAGAAGAGAAACTACTAAAACCTTTCTCACATGCTAGTTACTATTTAAATCAATTTCTTGGTAGAAGTAAGGCAAAATTAGAAAAATCTATATTATTTTTACTAGAAGATTACGAAAACTTAAAAACCTTTGTGATGAATATTTCGAAAGCACAATGAGATGTTTTTAGTATTGATGGGATGCTCAAGATGCTTTGCTTATATAAAGCAGTTTACAATACGATCAAGAAATATTTTAGTTTTGATCAAGCTAATGACAAAGCTTTAGATGAAAAAAAGAATAAAAAAGTTTTACAAGAAATGATCGATACAAAGGTTATAAGTCAAGATACTATTCTTGTATATAAACAAATATCTAATAATCAAGAATTAGTTTATTATCAGCAGGAAAAGGATGAAGGATATAATTTAGAAATAAATCGAGAAATAAAAAATAAAAGTTCTAATATACAACAACAACAACAACAACAACAATAATAACAACAACAACAAACAGAAAATAAAGATATTAATGAATATTTAAACGATATTGTTAATAATATATCTGTAAATATAGATATTGAGGAAGAGGAGGATGCTGTTGTTATAAATAATTCATTAAATATGAAAATAAATTATCATAATTATCATTTAGTACATGATCGCAATCAATATTTACAAACAAATATTAATAATAATTATGATCATAAATACGATGCTGTATATTTATCAGAACAAAGTTATAATGATGATATACCAATATCTTATTAATATTCAAATTTACAACTATTAGATAGAAGAAATATTAGATTAGTAAATAATAAAAATTTATATGGTAATAGTTTTAGTTCATTAGCAAATTCAAATAAAATTAAAAAGAAAAAAAGATAATAAAAATATTTTATTGAAATAAAATAAACAAAAATTTATTCTACTGCATCTCTTAAAGGTATTCTATCTTTCTTTATAGGAATATTGAATTTACTACTATAATAATATTCATAATCTCTAAGTTCAACTTTATCTTCAGCTACTATTATGAACTTATTATTTATATTTATATATATATTTCCATTTTCATCTTT